CATGAGATTGGGAAGGGTCCGGATCTCTGCGGGTAGCTCGTTCCACAGGGCCGGAGCAGCTACAGAGAAGGCTCTCCCCCGAGGGGCCGCCAGCCAGCATTGTCCGGCTGATGGCACCCGGAGGAGGCCCAGTCTGTGAGTTCTTATCGGCCGTTGGGAGATATGTAGCAGGAGGCGGTCTCGCAGATAGCCAGGTCTCAGGCCATGTAGGGCTTTAAAGGTAATAACCAGCACCTTGTAGCGCATCTGGAGACCAGTAGGGATCCAGTGCAGCTCGCGGAGGATAGGTGTGACATGGGTGTATCGAGGTACACCCGATATCGCTCGCGCGGCTGCATTCTGGACCAACTGTAGTCTCCGAACACTCTTCAAGGGCAGCCTCATGTTCTTTGTGCAGAGACTCTTAGAAAGTCTTGATTTTGTAACTGTTCTTGTAAATGTTGTGTTCAGGAATAAGTGTTCCTTAATTGGGTTGTCTTGAGGCTTCATCAATATATCTGTGGTTTCAGTGGTCACTGTTACACTTCCTCATCTGATAGTGGGTATTTACAAAAATCTCAGCACTGTGATCGGATCAATACTTTCAATATATTTCTTCAAATTGTTTTAATGGAAGAAGAGGTAACAGAGGAAGAAATAATATTTTAATATTCCTCAAAAGAGCTAGCATCTTCATTTGTTACACGCACACATAATTATGGGGCAAAATAAAAAAAACCTAAGTGTGTTGAAGGGAAGAAAACAGCTTTCTGGCAAGCTGCTTGTTTGACTTACCTGCAGATAAACATCAATCTTCACAAATGTGATATATTTAGAATTCACTGCAGAAATACCGACAGCATGAAAGAAAGGTTATGAGGATGTGGTTAAAGTTTCTAACCCGTTGAATCTACACCAGTTACAAAAAGGTTTTCAGAGCTGTATCTATTAAGGAAGTAGCTGGGACATTTATAGTGTCATAAGCAGCAATCAGTTCTAATTCAGAAAAAAAATGAAACATTTTAAACATGTATGTTCTTTGCCTCTAAAATCTAATGACCATAATCTTGTTTTTTCATCTGTCACATTCATTTAATCTTACTACATCACAAAAGCAAAACAAAGTCACAAAACCATGCAATCACAGATTGCTATTTTAAAATACTTTCAATATAATTTCTCCAAATAATTCAGGTATAAAACAGTTTCCAGTGCATCACTGTAAGACTAGAACCAAAGGTGGGTTTCTACCAGTTCGCACCTATTCGGTAGAACCGGTTCGTCAAATCTAACAAACCGGTTAGAAGAGGTTCCACCAGTGGACCCGGAAAGCAGGCCACACCTACAGAAGAGGTTCCCAAAAATTTTGAGAAACCCACCATTGGTCCTTGGATAGGATTATTCTNACTGGAAGGATACAGGATGATGAAATGAAATGTCACAATAAAATTAAGTTAAATTTAGTTAAACTTTGAGTATTATGTATAAGACAAAGGAATAATAGTTATAGTCAAATAAATGATTAATAATGATAATAATGCATTTATATATACTAGATTGATATATGGAATTTTATATAAGCTGTAAATGAGGACCATGCAGATGAAGTGGAAAAGCTTTTTTATATATAAATGATAAACAATTCCATCCCAATTTTCTATCCACCCCATTCCACTCCATTATTCTATTTTTGTTTTCTAATTCTGCTCCATTACGTTCCAATTCCAAATCCAAATCCAATTCTATTCCTTTCTACTCCACTCCACTATTCTATTCTTATCCTGTTCCTATTCTGTTCCCTTCCATTCAGTTCAATATTCCATTCTATTACATTTTTTTAAATGGAAGAAAGTAATTCCTTTCATTTCTTAATCATTTTTAAGGACTTTAGTTACATCCTGTTATTCCTTTTCGACGATTTGCACCATTTTGGGGATTTTTTCTTGTTAAAGAACAAGGAAAAAGGCTGCTAAGGCAAGCTAAAATAAGGAAGTGTGGACTATCTTTAAAAGAAATGATGGAGAAATATAAGGGCAGAAAGTTGTGGTTCTAGTTTATTATTTTTAGTAATTTGTAGCTTGGTCTGCTTTGCTGTGGGTGAATAAAACTTTCCGATTTTTATGATTCTTAAGTGACGTACAAAAAAGCTACTTTTTGGCTAAAGAAGGGAGTTAAGAAGATGGAAGAGCAAATTATTAGAGATGTATTTGAAAAATCTTTATATAAAATCCATCAGTTTATAGAACAGCTATGCTCCAAGAATGTTAAAAAGACTAAAACTACTTCAGAGATGCAAATACGTGTAGAAAGTTACAAAACCACTGAGGAAATTTCACAAATATCTGACAATGTAGAGGAGTCAACTGTAATTTTGGAATATAAACCTGACACCAAGTTTTATTACGATGGTTTAAATAGAAGCATCTAGAGGTGGGATTCAGCTGGTTTGGCTCAGTTAGGCTGAACTGGCTGGTCCCACCCTTGGGTGACCTCTCCTGAGGTCATTTTGACATCTCGGCGCTCCTCTAAAAGGCCCCCCACCCACTCCAAGCAAGCGACGTCTGCACAGGCAAAACCCCAAGGCAGCTCTGACAAGACACTTGGAGGAGGTTGGGGCTGGGGCTACTAAACAGGCAGCCAAGCTAAATGCCTGAAAGACCCCATCTATTACCAGGAGTCCAGGTGCCTCAGCGGGCGGTGAATGAGGCCTCGGCTGGGCTTCTTGGCAAACAATGGGCTTTGCAGGGGGCCAATCTAGCACCCGGAGCTGGCTCTGCCCTAAGCAGGCCGGGGGCATCATTGGGGCTCCTGCGAATAGGGGTTCAGGCAGGCTCGCTCCCCGCATGGCACCATGATTCATGAGTTACTGCTGATGCTGCATGGTTACCCAGGTGGCCTCGTGGGCTGTGCCCTTCAGGTGGGCGCCCCTCACACCTCCCCTCCCAGCCACTCCTCACCTGGCCTGAGAAGGTAAGGCCAATGGAGGGGGAGGGAGACCAGCAGCTGTGCTTGGCCAGGACCGCATGTGGTGAGGCTCGACTGTCTTTTGGGCCCGGCTCTCCCACAACTTGACTGGATGGTGGAGGTGCAATGTGAGCACATCTGCTATCAGCCATGGTAGGCAAAGCCCAGCAACTGTGGAGAGTCCGGGTGGGGGTGAGATGCGGGCTGGGGGAGGGGGCCGAGCGGCGGTGGCTCAGCCTTCTCTGCCACCAGCCATGGAAGGAAGGGCAGAGCAGGCGGGGATCGGGGGTTGCGGCCAGCCAGGAAAGCTGAACTGCTGCCCAGCCCAGAGCTGCCAGTGGGTAGGGGTGGGTGGGTTGCCCCTGGCTTGAAGTTCCCAGCCCTTTCTTTCTAAAACTGCCCAAAAGAGGGAGGGGAGGAAGGCCTACCTGATCCCTTTGTTGGACACGGAGCTCTTGTTAACTGGCCTTGCCCTCTGGTCTCTCCGGCATTTCTTCCCCTTAGGCCATCGCAAATACTGCTAATTCCAAACGTGGAGGCATGTGTAGTGTCTGCTTTGGGGGAGGGGGGGGGGGGGAGGCCTATCCCAATCAGTGTGTAGCATTGATGTGTTAGATGTATTAGTTTAAAGAAAAATCTGGAGCTTTTTAAAGCATGTATACAAGAAGAAAACAATTATTCTATGAGGGTAATTTGGAGGGAGTGATGTAAATTTAATGAGTTCATTGGAGTTAGTTGGAATTTTTTTAGTCTGAAAGTGAACTTTAAGGTATGTATGCTAAGAAAAAGTTAAAAAAAGATATATTGGCTGTTTTAATTTTAGAAATGTTTTAAAGAAAAACTTAGTATTTTAAAATGAATGAAAATGATTTTTCCCTTTAAAGAATCTGAAAGAATACAGTGAACTTTGTTAATATAAATGGTGATAGTTTATAAAGATTATCAAGTGCAAATAGAAATACAGATTATTTCAACATCAAGGAAGATAAAGCAGTAATGGTTAAATTGATTGTTCTATTCAAAGAGGAAAATATATTTATGTTTTTTATTTGGATATCACTTCTAGATTTTGTCCTTGTGATGAAAAAAAATGAAACTGACTTTGGTATTGCCGATTAGATAGATTTGTTGTTATAGACATTGTATATTAATATACTATTACACATTATACTAATGTGTTAAAGCAAAAACTTGAGGTTGTATCAAGTTGTACTGTGCTTAAGAGTCAGAAGTCAATGCCTTTTTCTTTCCTCCCTTCCTTGTATCTCATTTCCCCCCTTTTTTTCGTTTCTTAATTTCCTATTTTATTTTTCTTGATATTTTATACATAAAACAATAAAAGTTATTAATAAGGATGAAATCATGTTTACTAATATCTATGCAAAGAGAAAATGAGGGAAATATTGCATGATAATTAATTGTCTGCTCCTTATTTATATTTATCCAGTGTTAAGTATACGTGGTATTCAGGAAGAAGATCCCCCCGATGCTCAGCTAATGAGACTAGATAACATGTTGCTGGCTGAGGGTGTCTCCGGGCCTGAGAAGCGGGGAAGAGGAGGACCAGCGGCAATAGCAGCAACATCAGGTGGCTGTCCAAATGACAATAGCATTGAACACTCTGACTACAGGGCCAAGCTGTCACAGATCCGACAGATATACCACTCTGAGCTAGAGAAATATGAACAGGTGATCTTTCTGCATGGAAGAGTTATCCTCTCTGTTTTATCCTCTCAATTTAAAACAATTAATTGCTTTTCCTTTGTGGTCACAGATCAGGGAGTATTCAGTTTTATGAAAAGTATAATAACCCTACTATTGTGTGAAATAAACATAACTTGTATAATTTAGGATTGTCTTTTTTAAAAAAAAAAGTTCAAGAGAATGACCTTTCCTGGTTCTCAATTGCATTAAATGTATCTGCAACAATAGTGTTATGAATTTTTTGCTTCGAAAGTGCTCCATTTTACCAGATTTTGCATGAATAGTAGCTTTTCTTATCCAGAAGCTGACAGCAACTTCTATGTTTCATAGGGTGATTTTATTTAAGTTGATTGTTAATATTTTCCCTTTCATTATATTGTTCTACTACTACTACTACTACTACTACTACTACTACTACTACTACTACTACTACTACTACTACTACTGGCATTGTTTCATTATCATATATAGTATCTTGCTATAAATAAAAAAAATATAGAAGTAAATATGTTTGACAACTTGAAAACAGTTGGATATATGTNGGGTTGCTTATAGAAGAAAATATAAATTGATATTTTTAATATCGCCCAGCTGATATAAAATATATTACAGCTATTTGATTTATTTAGCACAAATGCATAACAGAAACCTATTCTGTTTCTACATTTCCATTCAAAGAACCATTCAGTTCTTCCATTCAACCATTCCACAGTCCAGACAAATAATTTGAGGACAGCAATTTTACTATTCTTTGGGATACTAAGTAGAACACTAGAAAAATTGTTTGAAAACCTGTGAAGTGTAATAACTACTTCAGGTTGATGATCATAATCTTCCACCTAATCAAATTTTTCACACAGTATATATTATTAGGGAAAATGTTTTCCTCTTAAAAACAGAACTTATTATGATAGCATCAGATGAACACTTCAGCAATCAACTCAACGTATTTGGAATTTCATGAAAATAATTAAATTTCATTTTGTGGTGTTGATACATAATATTCTCATCGCCCTTAAATTACCTGGATTGTAAGATAGTCAGATAAGAAGGAAATATATATTATTTGTTGTAATAAAGGTAAAGATTTCCCCTCTTCAGTTGTGTCTGGCTCTATGAGGCAATTTTCATCTCCATTTCTTAGCCTAGGGATCCAGGGTTGTCTGAAGACACTTCTGTGGACATGTATCCAACATGACTATAGGCTGAGGCATATAGAATGCTGTTAACTTCCCACTTGCTGGCTTTCGGACTGCTAGATGGCAGGAGTTAGGGCAAGTAGCTCACCCTGTCCCATGGCACTCAGGTCACAAGCCTGCACTGTCTAACTCAGCATCTTTAATTGTTTTATCTAATTTGTTATAAAATATCCTTAAGGTAACTTTGCAACTTTCCTTCTATTATTTGATCTGAAGGTTTTGTTCATTCAGTCATTTATTTATTTACCTAGGAGAAAGTAACTTGGTGAGATTAATTTCTGAATAAATACATAAAGATTTAGGCTAGAATGCTTTTACAGTGGTGTCACCTTTTATTTCCTGCTAGGCTTAGCTATATTTATTTATATACTTTTTCTATTGCTATTCTGTTCTTTTTTAAAACTGATTTTTCTCTTGTATTTTTTTTTTACTATAAATGTGAAGCTCAGACATCTTGCTGGAAAGATGGTATACAAAAGAAGCAAGTAAAAAATAAAATTTATCAGAAATTTTGAATATTGTTCAGAAAGATCACATTATAGGAGGAAAATGTGAATAAATCATTCATTTGTATGCAAGTAAATCCAACAAATCTTTTTCACCCAATTTGCAATGAATGTTTTAAAATCCTAAAACGGCTATTGTTAATTTTTTGCTACTTACAAAAGTGCTGTCAGAATACTATGAACAATACATTTTAAATTTTCCTTAGGAAGCCCTCTCTTTCAATATTAGAGGGTCTTTCATATAAATGAAATAAATTGAATTGAATTGAATTGAATTGCATCAGATTAGGATTTGATTTTGTATAAAGACCAACCTGTCTGAAAAAATTATCACAGAGAGCTTGTAAGATTTTATACAAAATGACTTTTAAGCTGTCAGTGTAGCGGCGGACGTGATGTGCCGATGCCTGGAAGCTGTCAGGATCTGGATGGGGGTGAACAAACTTGTGCTCAATCCCGAT